TTACTCATTCACTTATCCGTCATCCTTCTATCTATCCATCCATCCATCTATCCACCCATTATCCATGTGTCCATTGTCCATCCACCCATCCATTCACCCATCCTTCCTTCCTTCCATCCATCCAAACATCCATCCATCCACCCATCCATCCATCCAAATATCCATCCATCCATCCCCTCATCCATGCATCCATCCATGCATCCATGCATCCATCCATCCATCCATCCATCCATCCATCCATAAACTCATTCATGCATCCATTTAACACCTCTGTCAATTTTAGGTTCATACTCTTTCTGTGTGTTGGGCACAGGGTAGACACCATGTTTCTGGGAGGTGTAGACCCCGACCGATGGAGCCCTACCATGTTAAACACCATCACATCCTTTATTTACTTAAGTCTCCATTTAGCTAGTGTCCAACTTATAACTTTCTTTAATGAGACCTTGACACGTCACAAATGAAAACGTTTTCCTTAGTCCAACTGTACTTCCTTCACCCAGGAAAGGTCTGAGGAACTGGTTCAGTTCTCCCACAATTGCCCAGGATGTTGGTCGTTAATTTGACCCCATCCTGGTACTTCTGTGAGTAGCAAGGCTGGGCTGGGTTGGGGGTGAGTGGCTGGAGCAGGGGAAGGCAGGTTACTGGGATGGAGGACGAGAGCAACAGCTCTTGTTCAACTTTTATTTTGAGGACTCTGTTGTTTTTTTAGAGAATGTTATTCAGCAGAGGCACAATATTGTAATTATGTGGCCCAGAAAACCATGCAGTTAAGGAGTTCCATTTTCTATGTCTTGTGATGTTAGCATTGTACCCAGGTCCACATTCCATGCTACGGTCTGTGCTGGCCAGTCCTCGGGGAAGAGAAGGGAACAGACATAAGTGTAAAATAAACACCCATGGGCAAGGCTCCCTTCTCCTGGGTCAGGACATGTGCCTCTCCATGTCCTTGCATGCATTCTCCGAAGCCAACTCCCCCTCCATTCTAGAGGGTTCTGCAATGGACCTTATGTTCGTGTTCATCTTCCAATCTCTACCAAAACAAATGCAATAATGAAGGGACATTTTCACATGGTCCTGTAGTATAAAACCCCTGCTGTCCTGGACGCCTCCCTTCTAGTGCAGTCCCCTCTGCTGGGGTGGGGAAATGCTTCTCTTATGTAATGTTAAGTAAACTTGGGTAGGGTTTTGCTCAGAGATGAATCTGATAGCTTAACCGCATTGCTCACGAATTTCAGCTGCACCTAGGCCTTTTCATGATTACATCTAGCGTGTTGGACAGATTTGGAAATTAAGCCAGCCAGAGCTAAGATAAGAGATCATCTCACCACGTATGTTCTGACATAGTTAACTAGAGAACGAGCTTGACATGAAAAGTTAGCGGGGGCTTAACCATTTCTAGAGCAAATTGTCATTGCCACGAACACTCCTTATCTTGAGTTGATGTAAGAATTAAGTGTCCCTTTTGGAAATAACACTAAAACTTTTAAAAAACATCATGACCATAAAACAATCAAAATGAGTGTGAATTCTTCACAGCAATTCTCAAAGAGAGGTGGAGTCCTGTTTCTCTCCTCTTGAGTCTGGGCTTACCCCTCACTTGTTTTGGCCAAAAGGTGGTGGAAATGACAGATGTGTCATCCAGAACATTCCATCCTATCAAGTCTTCCTGTAGGTGAAGGTCCCATTCAAGCTGTTGGCTGATAGCTCAGCTGCCAGTGGTATGAATGGGTCATCTAGAACATTCTGTCCTATCAAGTCTTCCAGTTGGTGAAGGTCCCACTCAAGCTGTCGGCTGATAGCTCAGCTGCCAGGGGTATGAATGGGCCATTTAGAACATTCTGTCCTATCAAGTCTTACAGTTGCCTAGAGCTCCAGCCAACACCAGGTAGAGCAGTTGAGTCCTGTCAACCCTCAGAATCAGGACATATAACAACAGCTCGGTATTCATTTAGGCTATTACATTTTAGCACGATTCATTCCCTATAGATAAGCAAAATAGATGAGCAAAATAATACCTACAGGCAGGGTGCGTAAAAACAAATACATGAAAGAAATAAGAGAAGCCTTCTTCAAAGAGAAGCAGTGATGTTTTCAGCTATATTCAAACCAATGGCTTACAATCTCATCCGTTTTGGTTTTTTTCCCCCTTGGTTGCTGACTCATCGCACATGTCTGGCATTGTGAAATACGAATAACACAATATCGGTTTGCGGTTTTGAGTGGAGATGATGAACAAAGGTGGTGGAAGGCATGGTTATGTGTCATCTCCATGAGAGACAACAATAGCCTTCACAACTCACACGACATGTGCTTCCACGTCCCAGAGAGAATACAATCTTTGCTGCCCATTTTCTCCTGAATTCCCCTAATTATTTTCTTCCTAAGGGAAAGGGCAGGACCAGTGAATGTCAGAGATTCCATGACAGTTTATCAAGATGGTCCAACTCCAGTAATAACACTTTTTCTACCTGTCAGCCTTCTCGGGGCCGTGATTTTCAGTGCGTTCAGCAGTAAGATATGGTGGTGACTATCTCATGGTTTAGGAGGAAGTATGGGAGACCATCATATATTCCACGTTTCTACTCATCCAAAGGACAAACACTGTTTTTTATGTCAGACCCCATTAGCTGTGATAATCTATTTTTGGGAACCACACATGTTTCTCTTTCCATAAAGTTCTTTTTTTTTAAAGATTTTATTTATTTGACAGAGAGAGAGAGACATGGGGAAGCAGGCTCCCTGATGAGCAGGGAGCCTGATGTGGGGCTCAATCCCAGGACCCTGAGATCATGTCCTGAGCCAAAGGCAGAGGCTTAACTCACTGAGCCACCCAGGCGCCCCTCCATAAAATTCTAATCTCACCAAATCACCCTTCCCGAGTCACAGAAGAGCCAATGCCACACTTAGCCATCTTCTCAAATTGGCCTGCCCCACCATTTCTTTTTCAGGTTTACATTGGCATTTCTCCCTTTTGTATGTAAACATCCTGAAATGAAGTTTCCGGAGGGTGAGACCCCCTTGGAAAACAGCTAGAAAATCCAGCTTCCCTAGGGCAGCAGGGAGGTTGGGTGATGGAGGGGAGTTAAGAGATGACACTTGCCCTCCAGACGGGCACATGTCTGGGAACATTTGGGTGTCATGATATTGTGGGGATCCTATTAGTATCAGGTGGGTGGAGACTAGGGATTCTACTCAACACCTTACATTGCAGATTATCTATCTATCAATCTATCAGCAGCAGCAGCAGCAGCATCTATGTATGCATGCTTGTATGTATCTATCCATCTATCATCCATTATCTTTATCCATCCATCTCCATCCATCCATCCATCCATCCTTTGACTGGTCGATCTATCATCTATTCATCTATCATCATCTATGTACCCATTATCTATGTATGTATGTTTGTATGTATCTATTGATCCATCAACCATCATCTCCATTCATCCATCCATCCATCCATCCATCCATCCATCCATCCATCTTATCTATCTACCTACCTACGTACCTACCTATCAATCAATCATCTACCATGTATCTATCTGTCCATCTAACTATCACCTATCAGCTCTCACACTAGGGTATCTACATCCTAATACCCTGTGCGGTAAACAGAACAATGTTCCCCAAAGATGTCCACATCCAAATCCCGGGAATCTAGGCATCTGCTACTTTACAAGTCGAAAGTGCTTTTGCAGGTGTGATTAGGAATCTGGAGATGCCAAGGACCCATGTGGATTACTTAGGTGGGCACAGGGTCCTCATTTAGAGGAGGGAGGCAAAAGGTTCAATGTCAGAGAAGGAGCTGTGACCTTGGATGCAGAGGTTGGAGGGATGTAGGTCTAGGCGTCAAAGAATTCAGGCAGCTTTGTGCAGCTGGGAAGGCAAGAAGCCTGATTATCCTCTAGAAATCCCAGCAGGAATGTCCGGGCTGCCATCACCATGGTGTTTGGTCAGTGAGACCCATTTGGACTTCTGGTCTTCAGGATGCTTGGGGTGGAAGATTTGCTGGTCAAGGAAGTCCTGAGTCAGCCTGCACTTAAGTGATTGGAAGCCACTCAGCTCATGCCCAGCTTCCCAGAAACACAGATTTCACTCTAAAATGAAGATATTCCTGTTTTTTTTTTGGTGGTGGTGTTGGACTTTTTTTTTTTTTTTTTTTTGCTTATGTCCTCTTGCTTACAGATTCCATGTCTGTGAAAGTGCTTTGTAGCTATGGACTGTTTTTACCAGAACAGTAATCACTGTTAGTATTACTTAAAATTTTTTTGAATTTAAATATTTAAAATTTAAATTAAAAGAACTAGGAAAAAAATTTTTCTAAGTAATCTCCACCTTGACATGTGGGGCTTGAACTCATGCCCCCAAGACCAAGAGTCACATGATTCACGGACTGAGACAGCCAGGCATTCTCTGATTTTTTTCTTTTTTCATTGACAGCCCTGGGCATCCACTCCCAGGAGTGTATTTGAAGACAGAAGTGGTGGACACAGGTGGTCAGTCCTAGCTCTGTGCTCTTGAGGAACACGTAGTAACTGGTGTCCTCATTGACGTCTAGCCAACGATGATTCTTCGTTTGAATTCTGGAAGTTCCCCAATGTGAACCTCATGGACACCAGGCTCAACACCTTCGCCCCCAGCTTGGATGGACCCCGATGGGATGGGTGAAATGTCTTCACCTCCAGATGACCCACCACGCCCACTATCCACGGAGCGCCTCCAGGACCTCACTCTCCCCACAATCCTCCCCACCAGCCGCAACGCTTTCCAGCCCAGCTCCTCATGGGCGGCACATAGGCAAGAGTGATCTTGTGTTTCTGTTGTGGTTATTTTTTTTTTCTCTTTTAAACAAGAGTCATCATTTTAAGTAAAGATTGACTCTGTTTCCCGTTGTCATTTCCTTGTTTCTGTTCCACTCTTTAAGAACAGGATAACCTCTTTACATTAACCATGAAGGCCCAGACCTTCAGCTCACTCTTTCGTGTATCTCCGCAAGTATGAGGACCGTGTTTCTGCCCTGGGCATTGGCAGCCCTCTTCCTTCTGGCCGACGTGACAGTTTCAGAAGTCTCAGCACTGGGTAAGCCATGCTTGTTGTGTGGCCATGTGGCCACTTGTGTGAATAAAATGTCCTTTATTTTAACCAGCCTTCCTTCTTTCCTTCCATCCATCCTTCCTTCTTTCCCAGCTTTCAGTGTTTCTCTTTTGCAACTGTCGTATTTTTCGTTTCCCTTTGCTTGTTTTATCGTAACAGTAACAAGGAGCATGCACGTTCCCAAGTCTCCACAGCTCTGCTCACCTGTTTGCAGAGGGCTCATGACGGACCGAGCTGGAATGCATTCGGTTTGAACGCACGAAATAAATAAATAAGTAAATGAAAGAGTGCGAGGTCTGCTGTGTTGAGATTCTGGGTGGCTTCCCTGTTGTTTCTTCCAAGAGCTCAAAGGCATTTTGTTTAAGTGACTATAGACCTGTCGGGGATGAACTTGTGTCACCCCCGGGAAAGGTGAGGGCGTCTCTGCGCCCGCCGTGGGCTTTGAAGCCGTCCATCTGTGGGGTCATCTTTGAAGCCCATGGCCTTATCTCTTGAAGGGATCCCAGCTCCCACCTTGCTGTGTGTTTTCGGGACCTGTTCCTGGGCTTTTTTCTGGAACATGACCGCCAGGGTGCGTGCTCCTGGGATACGCTTTGCTAACATGGGTCCCCCAAGAGAGGGCAGGTGGGAGAGATCCAGCTACGGTGGGGACGGTGGGGCAGGTCTCGTGCCCGAGGAGGTCTGATTGGATTTTGTAATGTGGGGGTGGCTCAGACGGGAGCCGGGGATGACAGTTTAGGGACTTGGAGTCTGTGAAGTGTCCCCTTCACTTGCAGGGAATCCTGCAAACCACCATGGAGGTTTACAAGTCCCCGTGAACCCCATTTGCTACAGTCTCATAATGGTGCCTAGGAGTTCCAGTGGACACAGCAAGGAATCCCAAAGAGCCTGTGTGGGGGTCTCCCAAGGCTGGGGCTGCACAGGGTCTAACCTAATTCCTAAACTGTGCGACACCCATTGGTCCCTAGTCACATTCTCAGATCAGACCTGCCACGTTCCATGACGCTTTGCACCCACATTTTACCTCCCGTGAAGCTGAAACGGCTCGCAAGTGGTTCCTGACATCTCTGTCTCCCTCACTGACCCCCCAGTTTCAGAGTTACACGAAGAAAAGCACAGTTTAGACCAGTTCTGGGTTCTGATCCGTGAGCAGGTGCATGTGGGGACCGTCCGTACCCAGAGGTGCCCAACACACTCAGACCCTTTCTGTAACTATTATTTTATTTCTATTTTATTTATTTTTATTCATTTAAATTCAATTAGCCAGGGTATGACTTTCTAGTAACTTGTTAGAAAACACTTTGTGAACGAGGTTTGGGGTTTGCTTCCTTTTCTTTCAATGGAGTTGCCTTTTCACCCCCGAGATGTTATAGGCATAAAAGCCTTGAAAACTAAGTAGTGGGACCTGGGGTCCTACAGGGGCACAGTGTTAGGAAAGCTCCTCCTACTTTTCCTGTGCACCCAGAGTCCGCTGAGGAATGCACTGGGACACCCAGTCGTCCCAGGTCACAGTGGCCAATGGCAGGAGTTAGGATCCCATAGACGTGGAAGGGGACCGCTATGACCAGACATACAGACTCACGAGGGGGTTTCAGGTCGAATTTCTGTCAGGGCAATTTTAGCTTTCCTGTGGGATGACACACCTTTGGCCAGAAGGAACCCGTGAGCTCACAGACCTTATGTGCAGATTTCGGAAGGGTGAGGGGTCTCCAATTACGATCAGATGCTCCCCCCACACGCAGTAGAGACTAGAGGCTCAGGTGTGGGTTACGATGGGAGGGGAGGAGGGAGAGGGCTCAGTACAGGTGCTCTCCCACATGCTGTAGAGACCTGACACTCAGGTGTGGGTTAGGGCGGGAGGTGAGGAAGGGAGTGGAAGGTGACGCTTATCTGACAATTTCTGATGTTCTGATGGTGGTCGTGTGGGACACGTCTGGGCTTGTGGTTGTCGAGACAGTGCCGTGTGCGTAGACCAGGAACCACCTTGCAGGTTGGTGACACTGAGGTGACCGTCCATGGGGGAAGCCATGGTGGGCCACCAATGTGTCAGTGATGGCAGCTCTGTTTAGGTCTCCCTGGGCACCTGCCTCCCTTGGAGATGGGATGGACCCAGACCAGACATCCCACTGCCTCTGTACCCAGGAGCTGGGAGGACCCTGGCTTTCATTCCCACCTGCCATTAGCAGCGTCCCCCATCATGGGTGGGAGAAATCTATAATCAGGGCTCCGTGCATGCATAATGGAGACATGGGTTCCCGGGTCACAGCTGACGCGGACAACCAGAGGAACAAGGGGAGCCCTAGCGGGGTCGGGTGGACCACAAGGACGTGGCCGACCAGCATGAGATGGATTCTGGAGGGTGTCCAGGTGGGGATGGGCCTGGAGGGGGATGCCCTGGTGTAGCTGCCTTTGCATTTGCGTGTCGGCTACCCAGTAAATAAAGAAGGAAGGAGGGAGAAAGAGAGACAAAGAGAGTCCAAAGCGTAGCATTCATAACAGTCACCTTACCGGAACGATTGCACTTTAACGGGATGTCACTCTGGTATCACGGGGACCCCGTCAGCGTCAGCCAGGGCTCAGTAATGGTGTGGTTTTGGCCAACCTCCTTCCTGCAGACAAGCTCCTGGTAGGGACAGATGTGGGGCTTCCCATCCCATCAGGGACCTGCCTGTATATGGGGATGACACTTGAGTCCTGTGTCCTCGCAGTTAGGACAGATAAGAATTGTTCAGACTTTCCTACCTGACTAATGTCCTGGGTCCCTGTTATCTTCGTGCTTGTCTTTGTGTTTGTTACCTTGAGGCATGCAGGCCCCAGGAAAATGCCTCATGATGGAAGGGCCTTTCCTGCTGTCCCTCCTCCCACACCACCCGCCGCTTTGATCAGACCTCACATACGAACCCCGGAAATACCCAACCCTATTTTGGGGCGGAGTCCCTTGGGAACCTCCAAACTCCTCGTGGGGTTCTTGAGTCATCTTTTCTGTAACTCTCTGTGTGCAGTGAACTGAGACCTGGGAAGGAAATTGTTGGCGTTTCAATGATGCATCTGCAGGAGGCCATCCCACTGTTTGCAAAGGCGTCAGACTCCCGATTTCCCCCGCAGCTCTGGGAGGGTGATGGAATCAAAGGCACATCTGCAGATTTGTTGGGTCCTTGACATGGAGGGGCGCTGTTGGGGCAGGTTCCCATCTCCAGACCTTTGAGGAGGGAACCCTGCTTATCCGTGTTGGCGGAAAAGGTCTCCATCAAGGGAGACGTCCACAGGAGCTGGGATGGGGCAAGAAAGTGAAACAGGACATGGTTTTTTGTTGGTTTGTTGTTGTTTTTTGTAAGCAGCTCTATTGGGATATAATTTGTCCATTTAAAAGGCACAATTCAATGAATTTTAGGAGATTCATAAACACATGCAATGAGTTTTAGAACATTTCCATCATCCCAAATGGAAACTCTCGACCCAAGAACCCCTACCGCCCCCTTCCCGATCCCGCCCCCAGCCCCTTGACAACCGCTAACCAGCTTTCCATGTCCGTGGATTTCCCTCTTCTGGACATCCCATATTCATGGTGTCCCCACGGTATCTGACCACTTTTTTCTGCGGTGTCTGTCAGTCAGACTCGTGGGTTCATACCTCAGCCGCGTTGAAGGGCAACTGGGTCCTTTATTCCTTCTGACGACTGAATGATATGCTGTCCTACCCATGGACCACAGTGACTTTGTCTGAAGACACGGCTTTGAGAATTTGGCCCGCGGGCGCCTGGGTGGCTCAGCCCATTGACCTTCCCATTCTCAGGGATGGCTCAGACCATGATCTCAGGGTCTTGAGATCCAGTCCTGGGTCGGGCTCTCAGTCTTCTTTGAGATTCTCTCTCCCTCTTCTCCTCCTCTGCACGTGCTCACGTTTCCCCTCTTCAAAATAAATAAACAAATCTTAAAGAAGAAGAAGAAGAAGAAAGAACTTTGCCCAGATAGCCCCAGACTAGACCACCTGCCCGACTGGCATCAAAACAAGGAAGCGAAATTCATTTCAGCCAGTCGTTGGGGTAGATGCTCCCAAGTCTGGAGCATGAGCAATGACTTAGGAAATATCATGAAATTATGGGGTCAGATACAATTTTTTGCAAAATGAAGTTGCTTATTATTTAAAAAAAAATGGCAGATAAAATTTTTTAAAATAAAATTAAGTTGCTTATTCTTTTTTAAAAATGGTGATAGATACAATTTTTTTTTTACAAAATTGAATTGCTTATTCTTTTTCAAAAAAATGATGGTAGATACATTTTTTTTAAATGTAGTTGCTTATTCCTTTTAAAAAATGATCATAAACTATATATAGAAGATTCCTTCTTAATCTTTCTTAAGTGCACAGGTCAGTGACATTAAGTATATTCACAGTGTTGTCCAACCATCTCCACCACCCATTTCTAGAACTTTCTCATCTTCCCAAACTGAAACTCTATCCCCATGAAACTCTGACTCTCATGACCTCTCCATCCCCTGGTTCTATCATCTAGTGCATGAGGGGCTCTCCACAAAAGTACGGATTTTTGATACAAGTGAACTATTGATGAAGTCCGGCAATCAGTGTCCCAAGAATCTTTCTTTACCTCCTTCTCTCTCTGTACAGACAGATTCTATCATGGGGGCTGCCTGCATTATAGGTCCTCGGGTAAATTTGCAGTTTTGTGCCTTCGCCTCTCGACGTGTCCAAATCAATTCATCGTATCTGGTAAAATCAATATATACTTTCTGAGCAACAATTACAGGGGAAAAAAAGCACACTTTTGGTGTCCCCACGTTCTTTTTTGTTGGGAAGCTGACATTCAAAGATGGGGACCCTGGAATCACCAGAGTGAGATGGCATCGCTCAGTGGAAACAGTGACACCAGGGTTGCTAATAACAGATAGACCCATGGCCCAGGAGTGTGGCTAGTTCCTGGAGAGTGGGGGATGCTCCTGACCCTGCTGGGGAAATTTAGCAAGAAACAAAATTGCTTACCAACCTAGAAGCCTCATCCACAGAGGTGGAAGAGAGAGAAAAACCACCCCTTATTATTAAATGAGCATTTAACCAGAAGGCCAAACACACCACACACAATGAACTAAAAAGATCTACAAAGACAAGAATTCAGCAAACACAGAAACCCTTTTTTTAGAGCTGGTGGGCACCATGCATGACACACATACTCTGGGAATAAACAGTTGCTGGTTCTCAAGTGCGAGACCCCCCAGCACCATTCGTCCCACAAAATTCTCCCTAATTTCACCCGGTTATTGGAGCGACCATCTGTGTTAGCTAGTTGGTTTTATCCAATGGGAAAGTAAACTCCTATCTTTACAACAAGATGCTGTTTTATAACTTGGAGCCAGACTTAACCCTCACACAGAAATGGAACATCACATTCCTTGGTATTTGCATTTCCAAGAGTTATTTTCCAGGTCTCTGAGAAAGATAATCCTGGGCCCTAAATCTGGGGGAAAGCTTACGAACTTATGAAAGGATTTGCATGTATGTCAAAGAGATGCAGAAAAATCTTACAAGTTTCCTAAAGCTCTCCAAGAAAGGGAAGGGAAGCATGTCTTCCTTTTTATTTAATTAATGGATTAATTAATTTATTTTAGAGATGGCGAGAGCACAAGCTTGAGGGGCAGCGGGGAGGGAGAGAGACTCTCAAGCAGACCCTGCTCTGAGTGTGGAGCTTGACCTGGGGCTCCATCTCAGGACCCTGAGATCACGACCTGAGCCAAAGGCAAATGCTTGACCTACTGAGCCACCCAGGTGCCCCACATGTTTTATTTTTAAACTCGATTTGCCCTTACAGAGTACAGGACAGGGCAGGGCAGGGGTGAGGACCCAATGTGGAAGTAGAAGTTCCCTTTCTCTTTTGCAAACCACACCCAAGCCCTTACAGATAGCTCACGAATCTCAGACCTGCTTTCATGCCCCACTGAAGAGTCTGCTTCAAGAGCACCATTTTGTAGGATGAAAGCGTTTTGTAGGATCAGCAGAACACCTTCCACGCTCTCCTTCTCCTTCTCAGAGAAGTCTTGCCCAGACCCTGGTGGCAAGAACCCCAGTCATGTCCCTCACCTAGACTCCAAGGGAATGTCAGAATCGATTCTGGACAGTTAGCAAAGAAGCAACAGACACACGACGACTTCCTTTTCTTTCCCCTTTTCAAGTCTGATCAAGTTGCAAACTCTCCCGGGCAACTGGCTCACCATATGGGGGAGGTAATGAACCACAAGAACATTTCTCCTTTCCTGCTGATGCCCTGAGGTGTCTCATTTATCCATTAGACATCTTCCACAGACAGGGGTCCAAAGATCTGTTGTAATGTTTGCCGAGGACTGAGGTGTACACTCCCCTCCCTTTCAGAGCCTTGGAAGGTGTTCGCCATAAGACATGGGCACTAGTTCCTCTTCTGAAGGTCAAGGATTTCCAGAAGCTAGTAGGTCCTTCCCAACATCTCTTCTATTTCTGGAACCAGTGGATCAAGTTTGAGATCATCTACTGTGTGATCAGTTACATCAGGAACAATGGTCAGCACAAAACAGAAGTATTCTGTACACCTCGGGCATGAGAAAGTCTTCCTTAAAAACTCAAAGAACATTTCTACCCTTCCTTCTACCTTTGATTTTCAGAAGTCAGGGTAGGTCCAGAGTCCCATAATGTGTGTGTGGTTTTTTATTTTTTTTAAAGATTTTATTTATTTATTTGAGAGAGAGAGAGTGAGGAGAGGAGCAGAGGGAGAGGGAGAAGCAGGCCCCAAGCTGAGTATGGAGCCTGACAGAGGGCTCAATCTCATGACCCCAAGATCACAACCCAAAGCTGGATGGTCAATCAACTGATTCAACCAGGCATCCCATCCCCTGGGATAAAAATCCCAGCATTTATGATGGGATTTTTCACAGAGTTCAACTTCTGTATTCGTGGCCAATTCAGCACATCTTTCCTGAGCATTTTTCTACGTGTTGAGCACAGGACTGGGCACTGTGGGTGACATAGGGGGTGTCAACGACCTTGGAAAAAGAAGAGTGTAGATAACATAGCTGACAACAGCACAGTGAGGACTCGTTGGGGTCTCAGTGAATGGTGGTCAGATTGCCAAAATGCAGGAAACCGAGAGACAAAATATGCAGACGGACAATGGCCAAATAGTCTAGGAAAACAGAGCTCTGATTCACAACCTGTGGCAGCCTGCCTGGGAAACCAGCCCCTCGAGTTAATATCTGACAACTTCCCTAATTTTCATCCCAGCTTCCAACTCTGAACCAAGCACACACACACACAAAAAACAATTATGCTCGTCTAACCAATCCCACCAGACACTCTGCTTCTAGTGAACCATCTGCAGCTCCCCTTGTGCCAACAGCGTCCATCAGGACAGACTTGAGCGTCCGTGCCCCACCTCTACCCCTGCCCGGCTATGAGGCTCTCCCACTCCTCAGTCTGCCTTTGAGTGTCTGCCAAATGCAAGGGATGGTGCTCGACTCTCTGGTCCTGAAAGCTTCAAAAAAATTGTCTTCTGCTTGTTTTCATTTGAGTGGGCTTTGTTCATTTCCACAGTGTGGATAGCCATTGGCCAATTGAAAAAGAATATTGGCTGGAGGTCTTAGAAACATGTAAGGGAAATACAAGATTGGATTTGGATTGCCGAGAGGCCATGATGAGAGAGCATGGTTAACTCCAAACCATGAAGTGGAATGTGGCCCCCTGAATGTTCAGCAGGCCAAACCATCCAGCCCAGAGACCTCACAGGGGGTTTGAGCAAACAGAGATAGGGCAAGGACCTGTATTGGCCTCCTGCTTGATAGGTCGGGGAACTGAACCCAGCACTGAATGTGGAGTATGATTTCCTGACCTAGGGGCTTCCAGACCCTCCTTCTTGGCATTTGTGGACATGTATCTGTTCACCTTCCTCTCACCCACAACCTGCTGGGTGTTAGAAATGTGTCTATTGATCCACTCATCCATTCATCCATCCATCCATCCATCCATTATCTATCTTCCTACCTACTTATCTATCTATCTATCATCTATCTATCTATCTATCATCTATCTATCATCAAACCTATATCTATTTATATCTAGCCTATCCATCCATCTATCTATCCATCCTTCCACCCCTATATCTATGTATCTATGTATCTATCTATCTATCTATCATCATCATCATCATCTATCTATCCATCACATCTATTGATCCATCCATCCATGTCTATCTATCCATCCACCCATCCATATCTATCTATATATCCATATATCCATCCATCCATCATCCATCATCCATCCATCCATCCATCCACCCTTTCATTATCTATCTACTTACCTACCCATCCATCCATCATCTTTTATCTATCATCTATCTATCTATCTATCTATCTATCATCTATCTACCTGTCCTAATACTTCCACTTCTAACTCAACACCACTGAGTTCATTCTAGCCTTCCATATTCCCAAAATTGCTACTCCCTCCTCTGACAGTTGGAAACTTGCCTCTTGCTACCCGCAGTATCACAGCATGTTTGCTCAATCCTAGAATACACCCATTCATGACTTTCACAATGACTAACATCCGTGAAAATCAAAAGTACCCAAGACTTTCACTTGAAAAGCCAAGACCAAAGGACTCATTTGTCTGCGAGCTTTTTCTCAAGTTGTCATGTTTGGTGTTCTGAGTGAGACAGCAAGATGGGTGGCTTGGGGACAGTGTCTAATGCCCCCCCTGCATGCCCCCAAAAGATGATGTCATCAGACACACAGTTGATAGTCAGTAGCTGCCCATCATACTAATTAATGGTCATTATCTCTTGCAAACACAAGAAGAAAAGTGGCTGTAATCTTGCTGCTGGCTTATGACTCTGTCCTGAGCAAACTTTATATATCTTGAGGCTCTCAGTGACATAATTAATGCCTGGCTTGTTTGTGAAAATCTTGGTTTTCTCTGTCCCTTTCAACCATTCTTTCATTCGTACGACAGAAGTGCTGATGTCCTTTGACATATTTCCATCTGTTTTCAGCATGGCCTCAAAAGATCCTCTGTTTGTCTCTTTTCACCCAGAAGGAGCATTGCAACTTCAGATTATCAACTTTAATTTTGAAACCGTTCAGGTCACGTGGAATGCCAGCAAGGACTCTGGGACAAATTTGACTTTCCTCTATAAGTAAGTGCCCTCAGGAAGGGAACATCCTACCCTGTGTGCAAATATTTCTTCCTCTGAGACCCCAGCCATTGGGAGGGCCCGGTCGTGAAGGTGTGAGGGATCAGAATGTTCAAGTGTGAATGTGTCTATTCTGTTTAGGCTCGAGCACTCGCCACAACAGCAACCACAGGTCCCCAAGCTTCCTAACCAAGTGATGACCAAGTCACACTCAAAACTACCTAGATTCTTACCAGGACACCCAGAAGGTGTTTGTTCACCCAGGACGATTTATTTGCGATGTCTCAACAGATACCTTCAACAGGAGCCCTGTTCCCTTGACACGTGCTATGCGGCCATGGCAAACATTAACCTTCTGACGCTTTCACGCCAGCTCACCAGCCACCACCTTCCGAAAACGTGTCTCCCTGTCATGGGCTTTTTTTGTCTTACATGCTCAAAGACATGGGTATAAATGTGGGAGGAAAGGATTCTCTAAATAATTTAGTCCTAATTCTGTGAATGGGAGATGTGTGATATGCGATTGATTCTTTGCCATTTGATAGCATATGACACAAATGGGAAAGTGTACGCAAGAGGGAGAGTTTAAGGTGAATTGACTGGGAAAATAAACTTTTAAAAAAAAAGTGCTGGATTTCCTAGGCGATCACACAGGTAAGTCACTTGATCATCAGTTTCTTCGTTATAGAGGACACAATTCTTCATCGAGTCATTGCTTGGATTTGAGGACTTAAAGACAGAGCCTGAACTGGTCTTAACTGGGAACCGTGCTTTTTTCTTCATATTGTACAAAGCCCCAGGGAGATCTCTAATCTTGGTACCTCCTTATTAAAGTGCCTGCTCAAATCAGGGGCATGGTGACTCTGCAAGTCAAGCCGTATTCGTTATTAGTTTTCAGGGGTGGCCATAACAAAGTACCACAAACTGAGCAGGTTACAACAATAGAAATTCATCCTCTTCCAGTTCTGGGCACCAGAAGTCTAAGATCCAGGCAGGACGGGGCCACTGAGATCCAGGCGGGACAGGGCTGTGCTCCTTCCAGAGGCTCCTGGGAGGGTCCTTCCTGCCTCCTCCATCTTCGGGGCTCCAGGCATCTCTGGACTTGTGGCCACGTCCCTCCCAGCTCTGCCTCTAACTTCATGTGGCTTCTTCTCTGAGACCGTGTCTCATCTTGCGTCCCTTATAGGGATGGTGTCATTGGATTTAGGACCCACTTTAATGCAAGATGATCGTATCTTGATATCTTTCTTTTAAACTCCCATTCACAGAATCCAGGGATTAAAACATGAACATGCCTTTTGTAAAGCCACCATTCAACCCACTAAAGGGGACATTCAAGAAGGTTAACCTTTTGGGAGAATGGATGATTTCTGTTTGGGCAGTTCTTGCTGTGCTTGTAAGAAAGGGTCCTTGAAGCTAGTGAAGGGGGTCCCCAATCTGAGTCTGTGGCAGAGATGTGGAGCAAGGGAGTGGCCCATAGATGTGTGAAGATATTATTTTCAAAGACCCTCTATGGCTGAATGGGTCTCTTTTTTTAACCGCAGGTTAAGCAGTGATGAGACCAGTAGCCAATGCTCCAACTATATTCTTCAACAAAGTCATACTGCCGGATGCCTCCTGGAGGCAAAAAAAGATGAAATTCTGTGCTTTTCCATCTGGAATGCAACACATCTTCTTCTCACCAAGTGCCAATGGATCAGTGCTTACTGTAAGTACCAAAACCAAACTCATTGCCCAATGCTCCTTTCCTACTCCAACTTAGAAGAGACTGGCCTTCTAGAAAATCCATCATGATACACACATTGGGCAAAGATGTGGCATGACACTCTGCCCTCCAACAGAGAGAGACAGAGAGAAGGACATCTCGCCCTCCATACCACCCCATTCTTTTTTCTTAGGAGTGTTCAGGGTTGGCTGTCTGTCTGGGGTTACAAAACAGTGTCAAATGAAATGACTACAAACCAGATGGTTTGAAACAACATAAATTAATCATCTCCCAGCTCTGGAGACCAGAGTTGGAGATCCAAGTGGGGCAGGGCTGCTGAGATCCAGGAGAGGCAAGGCTGTGTTCCTTTCAGAGGTTAGGGGAGGGTCCTTTCGGCCTCTTTCAGCTTCTGGGGCTCCAGGCATCCCTGGGCTTGTGGCCACATCCCTCCTAGCTCTGCCTCTATCTTCATGTGGCTTCTCCCCTGTGTCTGTGTCTCTCCTCTTCCGTCTAAGGACACTTGTTCTTGGATTTAGGGCAACCCTAATCCAGGATGACCTCATTCTATCTTGATGATATCTGCGCAGATCTTGTTTCCTAATAAAGCCGCTTTCACAGTACCAGAGGTTAGGACTTGAACATATTTGCTGGTGGACACCATTTAACTCACAAAAGCATTCATTTTCTAGAAAGGAGTCCCATATGGCATTGTCCATGTTCTGTCCTCATTTTAGTTTGCTGGGGCTACTGCAGTGAGTTACTACAAAATGGGTGACTTAAGACAAGAGAAATTTGTCCTTTCACAGTTAAGAAGACCCCAGGCATCTGAAATCAAGGTGTGGCCAGTGCTGGTTCCTTCTGGAGACTCTGGGAGATAATCCGGTCCATGCCTCTCTCTTTGTTTCTGTGGCTGCTGGGAACTCTTGGTGTTCCCCAGCTTGTAGAGTCATTAACCCCATTTCTACCTCTATCTTCATATACCCTTTTCCCGCTGTGTGCCTCTGTTTCCTCTTATGAGGACACCAGTTAAACAGGATCAGAACACACTCTACTCCAGTAAAACCCATCTTTTCGTTAATAATTATACCCAAATTTATCCCAAATGCAGTTCTATTCTGAGATATAGGGGCTAGGACTTCAACATACGTCTTTCTTTCGGGGGACACTATTCATCCCATAAAAGATACGTAGGAATTTTTTACACAACCTCAAAGAGTTCCTTTTACAACATACATACAGGTCCTTGCAGCTCTGGTTCAAACCCATGCTATAGATGTAATAAGGACAAATGACCCCCCAACACCAATCTTATAAAGTATTGAGGGAAGGATTCATGTAGGCAGAAGAACACTAGTCTAAGAAAACTTACAATGATAATTTTAGGGACGTGGGATCTCTGTAGAGGTGGTGATCATTTTGCTGTCTCTATGTCTTAGTGAAACCCAGCTCCCCGAAAGACTTGAACTTCCAGTGGCATCAGGAAGCCATCACAGTGACCTGTTCTGATCTTCCCTACAAACGTCTCCTCTACGAAATCCAGTACAAGAGTATGTTCGACACTGAGTGGCAGGTGAGTGGGGTGGCATCTTTTTCTCAGGGCAAGTGTGAGTAAGAATCCTCAAGTGTTAACTGAGAGAAACATGGAGAGACACAGAGACAGATGTTGACATTTATGTTAAGGAATTGCTTATGAGATTATAGGGACAGGCAAGTCTCAGGCCAGCAGGCTGGAAACCCAGACAGGTTTCCATTAGGGTCTTGAGACTTCTCTAGGAAACTCCAGTCTGTCCTCTCAAGGCCTTTGACGGGTTGAGTAAGGCTCACTGACATTATAGAGTAACCTAAATTTGGCTGATTAAAAACATTGATCATTTCTAGAAGACACCTTTACAGGAATATGTAGGTTGACACCTAATTAACTGGGCACCAAACCTGGCCAAGGTGACAAACGAAATTCACCATCATCACACACTGTACCACCCAGCCCTCTTTGTATGCTTTTTGAATGTACAAGAACCTTTTTGGTTCTGTGTATATGGGCATAATCTATGGAATACATTAAAATGATGTGAAGATCATATGACCCAGGGGCTCACAATTGTCTTCCAATAATGAAATGACCACTGTATAAACAAGGGATTAAATTCCTTGCAATAGCAGAGCTGGAACTAATGGGCAAATCCTGCAGAAAGCAGACGGAATCACCCAAATCATGTACAGTGAGATGCCCATTCCTGGAGGTGCCCAATCTCTGAATTTGGCTTGAAGGAGGTCTCCTAGAGGTAAGGGTCTAACATGACAAGAGTAGTTAAGCTACCTGGACTATGAGCTCCCTGCCAATCTCAGAATTCAGGGATTCCACAATTCTGCAAGTACACTTGTGTCCATCGAGCTCTGTAGACTTGGATAATGAGGTCAACCAGAAGGACCATATCTCATAGCACCAACCAGGAAGTAAAGGGTAGGTGAGTGTAAGTGAACATCTCAGCCCAGGACAGTCGATACCTACCAAGGTTACAGGTGTTGGGAGGGATTTTCTTCAACATTCCTTCAAGATATACTTATTGAGTATCTACTATATCCCAAGCACTGAGGACATAATAGTAGCACCTAGCGAGGGCAACTTGTGGATGGAAATGATAACACATGAAAAGCGTTGAGTAAATTCACTCTTACTGTGGGCAGTCTTACCACTAGGCACACACGTACTACTCACTCACTACTCTTCCTCATTATTATTATGTTCACTGGTGTCTGGACCAGGCACATATGTGGAGACAACAAGGGGATCTGTCAACAGATGGGAATCTCTACTCTCCTAAAGTGAACCCTCTGTAGGAGGAGGCAAACCCTAAGTGGACGCATTGCCCATGCGACACATGCCAAAATCTGGAAACGGTACAATAAAATGCAGCAATAAGGATAAAAGTGAGAATACCATTGTAAGGCAGTTAAAACAGGAGGGGACCTATCAGAAAAGAGAAAAAACTGACCTATTGCTGGTCTAGTAGAATGCAATCACTGAGATGAGATTTGATGAAACTCACCAAAGAAATACAGATTAAAGCAACAGGTGGGTACCAGATTTCACCTAAAGACTATGCTGATAATAAAATGTGATACTGGGCAAGGATGTTGAGCATTAATAAACTTTAAGAACTTCTCCTGGTTTTGATCTGTTGAGTCCCTTTTTAGAAATTAAACCCAAGGAAAGGATTGAAAATGTGCATGAGGTTTTATTCACAGAGACATCTATTGAAGGATTATCTAAAATAATGACAAAGCATTGGAGGCCTCCTCCATGCCATACACTAGGAAGAGAGTCAAATTACGGTACATCAATATGACAAAATATGGAAGAGCCACAGTTATATCATGGAGCTAGAATGAAGGAGGTTTTATGGTTTTTTTTGTTGTGTGTTTGTATGTGTGTATGTTTTCTAAAGTTTCCAAAGTAAACATGAGTAACTTTTGTATACTTTCCAAAAAGTTACTTTTTTTGGAAGGAGTAAGTGTTCACCAAGTAATTCTTTTTTTTTTTTTTAAGATTTTAGTTATTTATTTGACAGACAGAGATCACAAGTAGGCAGAGAGGCAGGCAGAGAGAGAGAGAGGAGGAAGCAGGCTCCCCACTGAGCAGAGAGCCCGATGTGGGGCTCAATCCCAGGATCCTGGGATCATGACCTGAGCCAAAGGAAGAGGCTTTAATCCGCTGAGCCACCCAGGTGTCCCTCACCAAGTAATTCTTAAAAACATACGTACTCATGTCTGTTACAAGGGATTGTTTCTTCTCAGAGGGGCATCTAGAAATTGTCGCTGCATTTGTTTTTGCTGTTGTTTTTGCTAGGCCGATAGAGAAAGTGCAACAAGAGTGGGAATGCTGAAAAGTGGGGATCTTATGTGACTCCCTAGTACAAGGTTAAAGGATGTAGGTCAAGTCATCGATCACTGTGTTTGTTTTTTCTCTGCAGTCCAAGGAGGGAGAAACCTGCAATGTTACCACAGATGGCTTGGATGCTGAGAAATGTTATTTCTTCAGGGCCAGAGTGAAAACGATGGAGTCCAGCTATGGCCCTGACACATACCCAAGTGACTGGTCAGAAGTGACACACCAGCAGAGGGGGGAGCTGAGAGGTAAGGCTTGTCACACAGCAGTGCTGTACCTTGTCTTTTAGGGGAGAGAGGCTTAGGGGCACCTAAAAATGAATGACCTCACCTCCTACTTCAGAGATCAATTTGAAAGCAATTGTTTCCTCTCTCCAGGCTGTCTACCCTTTTGGGGTAATTTTCGTTTTTATTTTTATTGAGAGCAGCAATAATAATAAGTACTATTTATGAATGTTGTTAGGGTGATGTAGGCATAGATTATAGATATACAAATAGATGATTGATGATGTAGATGAATAGATAATGACAGATGGCTAAATAAATGATAGTTGGTAGATAAGTCGATAAATATAAATGAGTTGATGGATGGATAGATAGATACATACATACATAGATAAATAGATATGGTGGGTGGGTGAATGAATGGATAGATGGCTAGGTGATAGATGGAAAGATAGATAGATGATGGGTGGATGGATGGTTGGATGGATATGAGAGGTAGATGGATAGATAGATGGATGGATAGATAGATAGATGATAGATAGATGATGGATGGATAGATAGAAGGAGGAATGAATAAATGGAAGGATGGATGGTTAGTGGATATGGATGGATGGATGGATGGATGGTTGGATGGATATGAAAGATATATGGATAGATAGATACATAGATAGATATGATGTAAGGATAGATGAATGGATGGATGGATGGATGGATGGATGGATGGATATGAAAGACAGATGGGTAGATAGATGTATGGATAGATGGGTAGATGGAATGATGGATGGATAGATAGATACATAGATAGATACGATGTAAGGATAGATGAATGGATGATGGATGGATGGATGGATGGATGGTTGGATGGATATGAAAGACAGATGGGTAGATAGATGTATGGATAGTTGGATAGATGGAATGATGGATGGATAGATAGATACATAGATAGATATGATGTAAGGATGGATGGATGGATGGATGGTTGGATGGATATGAGAGGTAGATGGATAGATAGATGTATGGATAGATGGATAGATGGAATGATGGATGGATAGATAGAATGAAGGATGAATAAATGGAGGGATGGACGAATAGTTAGATATGGTTGAATGGATATGCATGGATAGATAAATGGATGGATGGATGGATGGATGGATGGATAGATGATTGATAGATAGATACATCGAGAGATACAGAAGACAAAGGATAGCCAAAAGCAAGCCTCAGTATCCTCAAACACCGCTGTAACACAGGTACCTGACAGCAGTGTGTCGACTCTACCCACCTCCCGCAGTGACTGCCTGAGGTGTGCCTGTCCAGACATACCATCTCTCTTCCAGGGATATTTGCCACCGAAATCAAGATTGGCAGACATCGCCATTTATAAAGGAAGGAAAATGAGATGTTGGAGACCAATCAACTACCATCCTGAAAACTGACAACACTCACTCTTTTTTCCTTTAGATTCGTGCCAGGAGAAAAAGCTTTTCCCCAGATTTGTTTTAATTTCTGGCATGGTTGCTTTGCTGACCGTGTTCCTTCTCCTTCTGTCTTTATGGAAAGTACGGAGGTAAGGACGTGTCTTCTCGCCGGTCTTGTCATACACATGGGAGAGAGGGCTTTGGTTGCCATATGCCCATGAAGTAGAAAAGAGAAAGAGAATCATCTGATAGGGTTATTGAGGGGACCATCACCACAATCACATTTCGCCAACAGTGTCTTACAAGAAAATTGATGGAAATAATGCCCAAAAAATGCACAGATACTGAGGCTATTCATTGAGAAATAGTGTCATAGAGGCAGGAGAAGATATGAGTGTTAACCCCTACCGGAGGGCTAGCTTGTTTCCAACACAGATCCCACTGAGCTGTGTCCATCTACCGTGTTAGAGTGACTAGTGCTTAAAACAGTTTTCAATTGTCATTGAGACTTATTGAGCTTTTTTTGTTGGGTGGAGGGGGTGGGAATTGCACATAGACCCTTGTCTGCTTCTCAAACCCAGTGACGGATACATCCACACAGTGTTCTCTGAGCCCGCAGACGGCATCTCAAAAATTATTAAATAGCTTCTCTTTGCTAACCTTCTTCACAACTTAACCACTGCTATTTCCATCCTTATGTAAACCGACTGGCGTTGTACCAAGACGTCTGGCTGACGTGTGAGGGTAACAATGTCCAAGGTAGTGGGCACCATCTTCACTTCTTAGGATGAAGTTTCCATAGCGACACTGGGGGTCACATGTAGAGAAAGACAAAGGACCATCCTGGAGCACTGAGGTTGGGTCTGTGCAAGGGGAAGTAGGACAACTGTCACGGGCCCCCTCGGGGCCTGATACAGCAAGGGGGGTGCATCTCCTAATTCTTGCAGATTGTCCATGACCTTTCCAGCGTCATCTCCTCTCATTTACCTGCTCCAACAGATGCCACCAAAACAGTGCCCTGCTGCAGAGGAGATGAGACAATCAGATCAGGGTGTCTGCTGGTGTTCTAAATACAGAGCTGAAAATCGCCCCCAAGGGAAACTGAGGGGCACCATTCCTGGAAAATACTAGCACTTGCCCTGTCTTCAAGGGAAGCCCGTATTCACAGTGAGGGGTGAAAAGTCAACTACATTGGTATCGGTGTCCTAGGGCGGCCGTAACAAAGGACTAAAGATGGGGAGGCTCAAATCACAGGCATTAATCCTCTCCCAGTTCTGGAAGCAGGGACGCTGAGATCAAGGTGTGGGCAGGGCGGATTTTCCCTGAGGCCTCTTTCCTTGGTCTGTAGACACCATCTTCTCCCTTTATCTCCTCTCCCTGTGAGTACACACATCCCTATAATCGCTCTCTCTTTTTATAAAGTCTCCAGTCATATCAGATTTGGAGCATAGTAGATTAGAACCTCTTAAGTTCTGTCCCCGGGGGCCCGTGAATTAAAGTAACCCAAGATAAATTAACAGGGGAAACGGCATGTTTTTCTTTCTTTCTTTCTTTCTTTCTTTCTTTCTTTCTTTCTTTCTTTCTTTCTTTCTTTCTTTCTTTCTTCTTTCTTTCTTTCTTTCTTTCTTTCTTTTTTAAATATTTAATTTAATTTATTTTATTGCTTCTTTCTTTTAGAAAGGATTCATCTGCATGTAACTTTTACATCTGGCTTCATTTTTTTTTAATTAAATAAGGCATATGTTTCTTTATTAATGTTATAATTTTACATGCAGGGAGGAGTCACAGACAAGAAGTGGAAACCCGAAGTGGCAGTTAGTCTGGGGAGCTTATATGCTGGTTTAACAAAGGGCAAAGATTGTGGAGAAGTTGTTAGGCAGAGAAAAGGGGATCTGAAGCTCTACGGGTAAATTTGGGGAAGCTGATTAGGAAATGTTTAGATAAAACTAATGGTAGAGAAAGGTTGTCTATGTGGAAATATATCGGTGGTAAAATTTGTTTTCCTTTTTCCTGGTTATGAGAGGGGGGCACCTTTATAAAAACAAATTTCCATTGCAAAATGGGAAACAGATGCCTTGTTTTTAGGCAGGTGGGGAAGAAGACAGAGCTTCTTCTATATGTCCTATATCTTAACAGCCATCAGGCCCAAATAACCAATGGTCCAGGGGGCTTATCGTGATCACCATCAGGCCCCTCCCTTAAGACTCTGGGATCCTTCATTATGACCACCCGAAAAGCCTGATCTCCAAACACAAGTCGCAGGGAGGGTTAGGGCTTCAGCCTATGAATTTTGTGGGGACACCATTCAGTCCACTGCCTTAAGGAAAGGGAAGGAACAGTCCCTGTGTGTTGGGAATTGGTATTGTGCAGGAAGGGGGTCCGTCCCTGTAACCCCACACTTTCCTAGTGGACGGTGTCAGGGGCATGGTGGGAGAAGGGAGCCTGGGGAGCTGAAGGAGGGGGCGTATGTCTTGACAAGGAAGACATTGTTCTATCCATGAGCCACGTCCCTGAGGGGGGACTGTGTCCCCATCCTTGTCCCCTTGAAAGCCCACAGCCCCGCTCCGCAATGCCAGCCCACCTGACCATGCTCTCCGTGTCCATTTCAGAGTTCAGAAGCTCCTCATGCCCATGGTGCCTGATCCCAAATTCAGCTTCCCTGGGCTCTTTGAATCCCACCAGGGTAACTTCCAGGTAACTGCCATCCTCCCGTGCTTGTCCTACGGGATTTCTTTGTCACGCTCTAACACCTCCCCCTGCACCCTGTTGAAAACCCACATTAATTCCAGCTGCCTCCTTGGGTGCCTGCGAGCCTCTTCTGAACCGAGACCCCCACTCTTCCTGGTTTGCTCTTGGGCAGAGAGATCAGGTCGCGAGAGGGTTTCAAAGGGTGGCTTCTCTTTCAGTCAGCCCCAGAGAGCGGTGCCCTCACGGGATTTTCCAGCCCAATCGCCTTTTCATCTCACCAGGAAGTTGTGTTCTTAATGTGCTCCCCCCGCAGAGCCGAAAACAGACCAGAAACTTCCGCTTTTCAACGGTTTACAATCGTTATTTCGTTCCCTTGATAAAGGCTCGTGGAGGCCTGTGAGTTGTTGGGAATTAGGGAGATGGGACTAGCTCCCCAACCCCGGAGCTCACCAGATGGTGCCTTCGATTTTTAAGGGACAGTGCACCGGAAGATGCCTGGTGCTGCTCCATCCAGAGGCTTGAAACAGCAGCAATTAATCATCTCCCTGTCCTGGAGACCAGAGTCTGAGATCCAGGGGGTGACAGGACCACAGAGATCCAGGCGGGGCAGGACCACTGAGGTCCAGGCAGGGCAGGGATGCTGAGATCCAGGCAGGGCAGGATCATGTTCCTTCCTAAGACTCCAGGGGAGGGTCCTTCCTGCCTCTTCCAGCTTCTGGGGCTCCAGGCGTCCTTGGGCTGGTGACCGCGTTCCCTCCCATCTCTGCCTCCATCCTCTTGTGGCTTCTCTGCGTCTGTGTCTCTTCTTCTTTCTCTTATGAGGACACCGTCCTTGGATCTAGGGCCACCCTGATCCAGTATGGTCTCATCTCTGATCCTTTACTAGTCACATCTGCAAAGTTGCTATTTTCATATAAATATACATTTACAGGTTCTGGGTGTTAGGATGGGCACATGCTTATTTTGGGAGGGGTGTGTACTCTCCTACCTCCTCCAGGAGCATGTTTGATTTCGAGACTACTTAGATGTAAGGGAGTTAAAAAAAAAAAAAAAACGGTAGAAAATTTTTTTTGCTCTACCCTCTTATGTTTTGTGTTCAGGGCCTGCAAATTAACCAGATGAAAAAATCAGATTAACAAAAGAATATGTTTATTTCATATGCACGTGAGGGTGGAGGAGGGTTCACGGAAAAGAAGTGAAAACCCCAAAGAGGTGGTTAGACCTGGGGGCTCCCGTGCCATTTTCATGAGGTGTGATAAAGCCTGGAGAAGCAAGAGTGCAGAGGACAAGGGAGGGTTGGGCCTCTGGGTGGCACGTGTGATGTGGGAAGTGACTAGGCTGATAGTAAAGGTTGTTGAGTGAGGTTTGTTTCGCAGACAGAAGCCATCTGGGGTGGCCAGGGCTGTCTCTGCAGTTGTAAAGACACCTTTGCAAGTGCAAATCTTTAAAAGGAAAACTTGTGGCCAGACTTTTGTGCAGAAAGAGAGAAGGCAGAGAGTTCCTCCCATGGCTGTTGTTTTTTAATCACCTTCAGCTCAAAATAATCTTTTGTCCCAAGTCCTTTTTGGTGGGAAGGTGGGTTATCCTGATCCTTTTCTAGGAGAGAGGAGAGAATTAGAACAGAGTTCTCACGACAGAAAAAATGAAAAAGGAGATGGGGGAGGCTGGGCCAGGGGAGACCCCACGCCAAGCAGGAGCAAGGACACTCCCCCTGTTGGCACAGAGTCTCGCAAAGCCCCCTGTCCCAGGTGTGCCCCCACCAGCATCGAGGGCATCCCCGGGGGGCTTGTTAGAATTGCAGTGCCTGGAGCCCACCGCTGAGTGATAACCCCAGTCACAAGACTCCAGGCGACTTGCAAACACAATCAAGTTCGAGAAGAGCCATGCCAGAAGGCGTGTTTCTTGCCTTGACACGTTTAGAAGGCTAAACGTGGAGGTTTTGCAAACAGCTTTTGAGGCCGATGATACAAAGCAGGTTTAAAAAGCACCCTGGGCTTAGCTCAGAGATGCCAGACATGAACGCCAGTGTTTTTTGTTCCCTGGACTGGCGTTTCCCCCAGAGGGAGGCTGCCTGGGTCCCAGGGATGCATAGCCAGGGGGCACAAGAAGAGAGGCATTTCCTTGGGTTCACGATGCCATGTTTCATGCCCGCAGGAGTGGATAAAGGACACCCAGAACGTGGCCCCCTTGAGTAAGATGGAGGGTGCAGAGCAAGAGTGTATCCCAGAAGAGGCCCTAGTTGTCCACGTGGTCAAGAATGAGGCTGAGATGCCCATCATGACGACCAACCCACTGTGCCCACAGATGGAGGAGGAAGAGGCCTCCGGGGACCCCAGCCTGCTCCCTTGCCAGCCCCTGCAAGGTGGCGAGGAGATTTCCCTGGGGGGCTTTACGTTTGTGATGAGTGACAACTCTTACGTGATGTTGTGAGGGCGCGCAAACTCAAAAGCCAGCATTGGGATCTATGTTGAGTTATGGGCTCCAGGAGGAGCATCTAGGGGACTCAACACCACGGTAAAGAGAACACAAACATGGCCAGTGTCTGGGGGAGGATAACTGAAGACCCCTAACGCCAAGCCATTGCACCTGCTGAGTCATCTCTCATCGCTACTCAAGGGCTCAAAGGCAAAATCACCGTAGATGGGATCCCGTGCATTGAGTGTTTCCTGCTTTGAGCTGTTTCCTGCTTTGTGCCTGATGTTTTCCCATAACTCGGAAGGAAAGATGACCGGGGTGCCCCGAAACCACCTTCATCCGTGCATCTCACCCACGCCCTGCCCTGACATTTCCATTCCTGAGCATTTTCTCTGCTCTTCCGTCCTGCAGCACATGGACCCGGAAGCAGAGCTCCCTGCTCCTGGGCGAGAAAGGAGCCCTGCCTTGCCAATGCCAACCAGCCACCCATCTCTCGCTATGAGATGGAAAGACCCACTTCTCAACCCCTGGGCCGTTGGCTTCACAAGACTCCATGTTCCTTGGCATCCACCCTCGTGGCCTTTACTCCAGAGACAGCCAACGTTACGATGCCGTGCGCAGTCACCGAAAGCGTCCTGCCCTTGGGTGCCCATCTCCTTTTGTGAGTGCAAATAAAGAGACCAAAGAACAAACTGGCTTGAGTTTTACTGACTTCAGTAGGTTGTGGGTGTTTGTGTAGACGGTGGAGAACACTACCAGCTTTATCCCCTTGGACTTCAAGTACGGGGTGTTCCTCGGTTTTCCAGATGGTGGTTCTTCCTGCTGGCCCTGATGGAGGACGGAGGATGGAGGATGGAGGCAGATTTGCTGTTTGGAGCCTGGGGCCCATCAGGACTTCCCCTCCTGTAGTAGGGTGACCGTAAGAAACACCCCACATGGGGGAGACTTCAACAATAGGAATTCATCTCTCAGTCTAGAGGCTGGGAGGCTGAGATCCAGGCGGGGCTGAGGCAGGTTCCTCCTGAGGCTTCTCGCCTTGGGTGTAGACCCCTTAATCTCCCCGTGTCCTCACGTGGTGGTCTCTGTGCCTGTCTGTGTCCTTATCATCTCCTCTTCTTGTAAGGACCCCAGTCCTACGGGATCAGGACCCTTCCTAGTGACCTCATACCTGTGTGATGACCCAGTCTCCAAATCCAGCCACCTTCTGCGGTCCTGGATCAGGGCCCTGACATATGGATTTTGGGGAGATGCCACTCAACCCACAACAGCTCCCATTTAATCGCAAGAAGAGGGGATGTTTGGAAACATGATCCACGCACCACGAGGGTCACCTGTCGGGGAGGGGTCCGGGAGTCTGTGCGTATCGTCCCATGCACGCCCTCTGTTTGCCGTTCCCGTAATTACCACCATTTTGCCCTGGAGAGACCCTCCCACGAGCTGCCCCAGCCCAAGCAGGAAACCCGAGGGAGGCCTGTTGGTCACGGGCAGGACACCTTGGAGACGCAGGTGCGTCACTTGCTTATCCGGTAAAAGCGTTGTGCTCTCGTCCTCACCAGGGACGCCCCATTCAGCACCTGCTCCCGTGGGGAGGGCGGTATGCGGAAACAGGGACCAGAGCAGGGGGACCGTGCATTTTCCGGTGATGCTGAGCAGCCTGTTTTCATCACATGGAAAGCGGGGTTTACGCCAGCTTGGAAAAGGCCCCGTGTTCCACGGGCTGGAGATGCTCTAGTCCACGCTGACCTGGCCTTTGGTGGCTCACGGCCACCAGCCTCCAAGCATGACGTGCGTGTTTCAGGGCTGGTCCCCAGATGGCAGGCTGCTGGGTGTAAATGCCACTTATAAGCAACTGTGAATCAGGCAGTCATGGCATTTATTCTACGAGGGAAAATGAGCTTAAACAAGGGAAGTATGAATCGTGCGATGCTGGGCCGGGGGTGCAGGTGCTGGGATCTGCCGTGGAGGACGCACCTGGCTCTGGGTTGGGAGGGGCCCCCTCCCGAGGAACAGAAGAGAGTTTGGGCTTTCTGCACGAGAGCACTGGGGTTCCACGCACACGGGGACGTCCTCACGAGGATGCTTGCCTCAGCACGTGAGGGCTGGGTGGATGCTGAGAGCCTCTAGGTGCTGGAGGAAGACCCCAGCTCGGTCCTGCTCCCCACCAGACCCTCCGCCTTACTGCAAAGCCCGGGTTCAGTTCTCGGACCCAAATCTGCCCGTCGTTGGTGTGCGTGGAGCTACGCAGCCCCCCATATGGAGAGTTGTGTGGTTTCAGTGCCGTATGTAACAAAAGGAGAAGAGGGCAGCTGGGGGGCTCAGTCGGTGAAGCGTCTGCCTTCGGCTCGGGTCATGAAGCCAGGGTCCTGGGATCCAGTCCCACATCGGGCTCCCTGCCTGACGGGAAGCCTGCCTTCTCCCTCTCCCTCTGCCTACCTCTCTGCCTACTTTTGTTCTCTCTTTTTGTCAAATAAATACATAAAAATCTTTAAAACAATAAAGGAGAGAGAATGGGACCGTATTTAAAGTGGTGAGAGCAGATTTCACTCAGGGATGTGACAACAGAGGAGAGGAAAGCTCAGTGGAGAACACACTGGGCTCAGAATACGACGCGGGCACGTGGGGTCACAGCCCCGGAGCAGGCGGGCTCGTGGACGAGGTAATGATCAGGAGGAGCCTCATGGATCACACCGGGTTCTGGCTGAAGGGATCTCTGAGGACTCCTGCTGAAGGCAGAGCCGGGTGGTCAGGTGTTACCTGGGGATGGTGGGCAAGGAGGGACCCATTCAGATGTCCAGCTGACCTGATGTTGACGTGACCAGATATGCACGTGGGCAAATATCCAGGTAAGGAGATATCCAGACCAGGTATGCAGGCGACCAGGTTTTGAGGGTGGTGGAAGATGAGGAACCCAGTCAGACACCCAGCTGCCCAGATACTGCGATAATCAGATATGCAGGTGAGCAGATATTCAAGGTCATCAGATGTAGAGGGTGGTAGGGGATGACAAAAGCTATCAGATCTCCGGGTGAGTAGATGTCCAAGCGAACAGATGTCCAAGTAAGCAGATCTCCAGGTGAGCAGATCTCCAGGTGAGCAGATCTCCAGGTGAGCAGACCTCCAGGTGAGCAGATCTCCAGGTGAGCAGACCTCCAGGTGAGCAGACCTCCATCCCGGTGGCCAGGTGTCCATGTGGCCAAATATGGAGAGTCAGGCGTTCTCCTTAAATTGACTTAAGAGGGTTCTTGATAGAAATGGGAAACGCAGGGATGAACCTAGAGGCCCACACATCCGGCCTCGTTGAGCACGAGTTCATTGGAGGCTGCTGGAGTCTGTGGGGGAGACAACCTATAGAGTGCAAGCCCCATCTCTGTCAATGCCCTGCGTGGGTTCCCTGTGGCCACAGTAACAAGTTACTGCGAACAGGTGGCTCAGACAGCGTCTGCAAAGGAGGCCTGGGGAGCCGAGGAAGGGTCCTCTGGGGGTGCCCCAGAGCTGTGAGGGCATCAGTTTCTATGGTCCAAGCCCTGGTTTATGGGTGTTCAGATGGTGGCCCTGAGACACCTGTACTCACAGCGCAATGGACAAAGGTGGGTCTGTGTTTGGGGAGCGCACAGGGCTGGCACGGAGCCCCGAATAGTAAGTCTCATAGTCCTGATGTCCTTCTGGGGCCTGGAGCTTTCCAGACACATCTTTCCGGTGTCTAGTGGCCTGCATGGGCACAACGCCCCAGGGGACCCTGTGTCCTGCCCTTTGGTGGGCTCTGGTTTCAGGGAATGGTTGTTTGCCGCCAGAAGGTGTACACGAGGGCTGCAGAGCCTGGCGTTGTGGAGAGACCCGGTCTTGGGGCGTTGGGACTTTGATTGTGAGTGTTCCCGCTTCATGCACATGCCACCGTACTAACTGCCCAGATCAGCTTGGCCGCTGGGGGTCCCGGGCACAGGCCCTGGGCTCCCCTCCCTTCCATGCAGAACACCCCACCCCGTAGAACACCTCCCCAAACCCAGAATTTATGAACCATCGCTGGGTCCGGAAAGACATGCGTTCAGAAGAGGGACCCCACCACCACCTGCCTCCCAAGCCCTTGGGTCTGCACACACCGTGCATTCTTGATCACCCCGAAGCTCTCCGTGCCTCTATTTGTTTGGGATGTGCGGGGCAGGCCTGGCCCTGGGTCTCGCCTGCGACCCGAGAACCCGTAGCGCAAACAGGCAGATGTTCTCAAGAAGTCATGAGTCACAGATGCTATCTGTCCCCTTTGTCTGCGTCCTGTTCCCAAGTCTGGGGGCCCACGCCCTCCCTGACCCATCCCCACTCCACACGGCGGTTCTCATGACCCACAGCACGGACGACGGTTGAAGGCTGAGGATGGCCTCCCACCCCAGTTGCAAGCCTGTGCACCCTGTTTCCCCCTGGCCCCTTGGAAAGGGAAAGGGGATGTCCCCACAGACAAGCTGATGGCAGAAGGAGAGACTCTGCTGTCTGGGCAGGGCTGCCCCTCTGTCCACCCACCTTGAGAAGGACCAGACCCTCCAGGAATGTGAGCAGCCCTGTGGTTTGCTGTCCAGACCCCGGGCCGGGCCGTGTGACCTGAGGCAGTGCTGAACCTCTCCGAGCCTTCCTCTCTGGCATGAAAATCCACACGGCCTCTCCCGCAGCGTCTATAGGCATGAAATGCAAGACATGCATGTGTGCACACGGGATCCTGGTAGAGTTTACGGGACAAAATCCATGTTCAGACTGACACATTCGGGCTTAGAAGGGAGAATATTTCCTCTACGTCCCAGCGATGCCTCCGAGTTCATACTGTGCGTTTTGTATCCCGTGCACGCTACTATGTATCACACACAGACAGGAATAGACGATCTGTGACATTTTCCTGCAACATAGTCTCTGTTGTAGCTCGGCATGGCAGCAAAATTATCCAGACTCCTAGCTCGTTTGCCAAACTTTGCGAGACGGAAAGTTCCGGGTTTTTTTTTTACTGAGTTTAAAATTACCGACACAGATCCTCCCGG